CCACGCCTTGAAGGCTATGACTATCGCTAAGGCTTCCTTGTCGTGAATGGGGTAGCTTAGTTCTGCTCCGGGTAGTTTCTTACTGAGGTAGGCGATAGGCTGTAAACCGCGTCCGTGATCCTGCATCAGTACTGCTCCGACTGCTTGGTCACTAGCCTCTACTTCCACCACGTAGTCCTTGTCTGGATCCAGCAAGATGAGTACTGGCGCTATAGTCAGTGCTGTCTGTAGCTGCTCCATGGCTTGCTGATGAGGGGTATCCCATTTGTAGGGCGTATCCTTTTTCAGTAGTTCGGTCAGTGGCGCTGCTATCTTAGCGTACTGCGGCACGAACCTGTTGTAGTAGTTGGCAAAGCCTAGGAACTACTGCAACTCCTTCACGTTCTCCGGTACTTTCCACTTCTTGACGACTTCGATTTTCCGCGGGTCCACGTGTACGCCCTCGGCACTCACCATGTGCCTGAGAAACTGCACCTTCTTCAGGGCGAAGTCGCTCTTCGACAGCTTCACGTAGAACTTGTTTTTCCGCAGGATCTCGAACACCTTCCGTAGATGCTCCACGTGCTCCTTCATGTTCTTGGAGTAGATGAGAATGTCGTCCAGGTACACCACCACGCATTCGTCCAGCAGGGGTCGTAAGATGTGATTCATCTCCGCCTGAAACGTTGCTGGTGCGTTGCAGAGTCCGAACGGCATCACCAAGTATTCGTAGGAGCCGTATCTGGTACGGAACGCCATCTTGTGGATCGAGTTGTCCGCCATCTTGATCTGCCAGTAACCCGACCGTAGGTGCAGCTTCGAGAAGACTGTTGTCAGAACATTATAGCTTGTGCTTTTGTGTAGGTTGTAGTGGGGTAGCCCACATGGGGTACAACCCAATTAGGGTTAGTACTTGTACCCAACAGTTTCATAGTTGATTCATTCTCGTTTCTTCTCATGGTATCGAGCAGTTTCCCTCGTGGGAACTGTTCCTAGGGCCCACCAAAACGATATTTTATTTTTCCTGCCCGGAGCGCACTTTGCTTAGGCCCGAGTCGCGCCTCGTGTGCCCTCTCTACCGTCGCGCCCGTCCTAGGCCTCCTTCGGCCCCGTCGTGTCGCCCCTAGCGGCCTCCCTCGCGCCGCCCTTACTCGGCCCGTCGCCGCCCTTCGCGGCCTGACGCCGCCCTACGCGGCCCGTCGCCACCCTCAGCGGCCCGTCGCCGCCCTTCCGCCGCCCTTCGCTGCGGCCCCGCCACCTTACCTGCGGCCCCGCTGCCCTTACCTGCGGCCCCGTCGCCCTCACCTGCGGCCCCGCCGCCCTTACATGCGGCCGCGTCGCCTGCTGCTGCGGCCCCGCCACCTTACCTGCGGCCCCGCTGCCCTTACCTGCAGCCCCGCCACCTTACCTGCGGCCCCGCCACCTTACCTGCAGCCCCGCCGCCCTTACCTGCGGCCCCGTCGCCCTTACCTGCGGCCCCGTCGCCTGCTGCTGCGGCCCCGCCACCTTACCCGCGGCCCCGCCGCCCTTACCTGCGGCCGCGCCACCTTACCTGCGGCCCCGCCCCCTTACCTGCGGCCCCGTCGCCCTCACCTAAGGCCCTGCCGCCCTTACCTGTGGCCCCGACGCCTGCTGCTGCGGCCCCGCCACCTTACCCGCGGCCCCGCCGCCCTTACCTGCGGCCCCGCCACCTTACCTGCAGCCCCGCCGCCCTTACCTGCGGCCCCGCCACCTTACCTGCGGCCCCGCCACCTTACCTGCGGCCCCGTCACCTTCACTGCGGCCCCGTCGCCTGCTGCACCGCCGCACCGCCCTGCAGCCGAGCCGCCGAGCAGCCCAGCTGCCCAGCAGCCGAGCTGCAGAGCCGCCCAGCCGCCGAGCCGCCCAGAAGTCGAGCCGCCCGGCAGCCGAGCCGCCCAGCAGCCAAGCCGCCCAGCAGCCAAGCCGCCCAGCAGCCGAGCCGCCCAGCGGCCGAGCCGCCCAGCAGCCGAGCCGCCCAGCAGCCGAGCCGCCCGCACCGCCGAGTCGCTCGACCCGCCCTGTCCGGTAAGAGCAGCGCCTCTGTCACTGCACTGCCCTCACCCTACTGTTCGTGCTGCTAGTCTACTACTGTTATGGCTACCCTTAGTGTCCTCGCTTTTGACGCTGAGGGTCGGGCCATTGACTTTGACGTCTGGATAGATGACCTGCAGCTTTTCTTACAGTGCGATAGGGCGGACGGTCTCTCTCTCTTTTTGACCTCACCTCTGGTGCCTCTCCTGCCCCTGCTGCTGATGCTGACGCCACTGTTCTCTCACAGTGGGCCGCCGAGTCGCCGAGCCGCAGTTGCTGCCGACCCGCCGTACCGCTGAGCCACCCGAGCCGCCCGAGCCGCCGAGTTGCCGGGCCGCCCGAGCCGCCCTGTCCGGTAAGAGCAGCGCCTCTGTCACTGCACTGCCCTTACCCTACTGTTCGCGCTGCTGGTCTACTACTGTCATGGCTACCCCTAGTGTCCTCGCTTTTGACGCTGAGGGTCGGGCCATTGACTTTGACGTCTGGGTAGATGACCTGCGGCTTTTCCTACATTGCGATAGGGCAGACGGTCTCTCCCTCTTTGACCTCACCTCTGGTGCCTCTCCTGCCCCTGCTGCTGATGCCGACGCCACTGTTCGCTCACAGTGGGCCACGCGCGATGCTGCTGCACGTCTTGCTGTGCGTCGCCACCTGCCTACCTCTGAGCGTGCGCACTTTAGTCAGTACAAGAGTGCTCAGACCTTGTACGACGCTGTAGTTGCACGCTACTCCTCCCCTGCCATTGCTGCACTGAGCCGCCTCATGCTACCGTACCTCTTCCTTGACCTTACTGCCTTTCCCACAGTCGCTGCCCTCATTACGCACCTCCGCACTAGTGACACTCGCTACCGCGCTGCGCTTCCTGCTGAGTTCTGCGCCAAGAACCCCCCCCCCCCCCATGTACATCACTCTCTACTACTTAGTCACCCGCCTCCCTGACTCCCTTCGCGTAGTCAGGGACCACTTTCTCTCAGTCTGTCCCACCACTCTCACTGTTGACCTCCTCGAGAAGGCCCTTCAAGCAGCGGAGAAGAGCATAGTCGCTGTGGGGGCCTCTCGTGGTGACCCGCGCACCCCCATCTTTGAGGGGTGTTCCCCCTCCCCTCTTTTGCCCTCTGTTGCCTCTGTTGCTGCGGCCGACCTTGTTGGTCTGGAGTCGGTCGGTGCGGCGTCTACCCCTAGTGGGAAGCGTCGCTCTGGCAAGGGAAAGGGGGGCAGGGGCGCTGGAGGAGCTAGCGGGGGCGGTGGAGGCGGCAGTGGAGGCAGTGGAGGGGGTGGGGGTGGTGCAGGGAGTGGTGGCGGTGGTGGAGGTGTCGGCGGCGGCAGTGGAGGCGGAGGCGGCGGAGGAGGTGGCAGTGAGAGCGGAGGTGGTGGAGGTGGCGGAGGTGGAGGAGGCGGTGGCGGAGGAGGAGGAGGAGGAGGTCGTGGCTCTTTGCAGAGGAGTGGCTCCGGTGGTGGTCAGCGCCAGCAGCAGCAGCGCAGTCGGGAGACCCTGTCCCCTCAGCAGCTCCGTGAGTGGTACGCTGCACGCCAGCGGGGTGGGGGTACTGGTCCGTGCACCTACGTCCTGCGCACCGGCGACCGTGCGGGTGAGCAGTGTGGGGGTGCGCACCCCACCCAGCGCTGCTTTGGCCGCCTGACGGACGCTTGGCGTCACCAGTTCCCGGAGGCCACTGAGATCCCTCGCTGGGACGAGCTGTCTAGGGCAGGGGTAGCTATCTTTGACCTTGACTTCGATGCTATTCTTGCTGCTATGTATACTGTGTCTATTAATGAGGAGAGTGACTGTTACCGGTGTTTCCCGCCCGACCCGGGCATTGCGACTGCTGCTCTAGGTGCTGGTGAGGCTGCTGCTCTTGGTGCTAGCGAGGCTGCTGCTGTAGGTGCTAGTGCGTCTGCTTACTCCGGTACTGGTGAGTCTGCTCTCAGGTACTGCGTCGGCATCGGCCTCCCACACCTTCACACTTGACTCGGGGGCTTCTCGCTCCTTCTTTCGAGACCGCACCACACTCACGCCGCTTAGTCGGCCAGTTGCAGTCTCCCTGGCAGACCCCTCTGGGGGTCCTGTCCTTGCTCACTTCTCCACTGTCCTCCCGTGTCCGACGGCCCCCTCTGGCACCCTGTCTGGTCTTTACCTCCCCTCGTTCTCTACGAACTTGGTGAGTGGTGCTGACCTACAGGATGCGGGGGTTCACCAGTTCACTCCTGCGAGTCAGCGGGTGACCCACTGCACGGACGCTCGGACAGGCCTTCACCTGGCCACGTTTACACGTCGGCCGGGGTCGAGCCTGTACACACTGACCACTGCGTCTCCTCCAGTCCCTGCGTCTTGTCAGGTAGCTGCGTCGAGTCAGGTGTTAGCTGCAGCGTCCAGGTCTGGTCCTGAGTCTGCCCCCTGCTCGTGTCGCCTCCTGTCTCACGAGACTCTCCTCTGGCACCACCGCCTTGGTCACCCCTCCCTGCTTTGTCTCCGAAGCATGGCCTCCCGTGTCCTTGTCTCTGGTCTTCCCCGGTCCCTCCCTCCCCTTCCTCCGGGCCCTGGCCCTACCTGCGTCCCCTGTGTCGAGGGGCGGCAGCGGGCTGCCCCTCACTCCTCCCAGTTTCCCCCGACAGAGGCCCCGCTGCAGACACTTCACATGGACGTGTGGGGCCCAGCCCGCGTCCGTGGACAGGGTCACAAGTGCTACTTCCTGCTAGTGGTTGACGATTACTCGCGTTACACCACAGTCTTCCCCTTGCGCAGCAAGGGTGATGTCACTGAGGTGTTGATCGACTCGATCCGCGCAGCTCGTCTCCACCTCAGGCGGAGCTTTGGCTCGGACTTTCCTGTCCTGCGTCTGCACTCTGACAGAGGCGAAGAGTTCTCCTCTGGCCTTCTGCGAGCCTACTGTCGTGCGCGAGGCATCCGCCAGACCTTCACGCTTCCGGACTCTCCACAGCAAAATGGGATTGCTGAGCGCCGCATTGGCATGGTCATGGACGTCGCTCGTACATCCATGATGCATGCGGCTGCCCCCCATTTCGTGTGGCCGTTTGCGGTCCGATACGCGGCGCATCAGATCAACCTTCATCACAGGGTCTCCATGCCGGAGACCTCCCCAGCTTTGCTGTGGACGGGGAAGGTTGGCGATGCGTCTGCGTTCCGTGTCTGGGGATCTCGGGCGTTTGTCTGCGACTTGTCTGCGGACAAGCTGTCCCCTCGTGCTGCTTCTTGCGTCTTCCTGGGTTTCCCCCCTGACGCGCCAGGGTGGCAGTTCTACCACCCCACCTCTCGCCGTGTTCTATCCTCCCAGGACGTCACGTTCGACGAGTCGGTCCCCTACTACCGCCTCTTCCCCTAGCGCACTCCGTCCCTCCCCCCGCCACCGCTCTTCCTTGTGCCAGGTCACCCCCTGGTAGACCCCCTCCCCCCTCAGGGTCCTGCCCCTTCAGGTGTGTCCCAGGTAGACGCTGTTGAGCCTGTCGAGGTCACTGGTGACTCTGGTGCAGCTGAAGGTGCTGAGCCTGGGGGTGCTGACTCTGGGGGTGCTGAGCGTGTGGGTGTATGTTTGGGGGTACTGAGCCTGAGGGTACTACGACTGGGGGTGCTGAGCCTGGGGGTGCTAAGTCTGGGGGTGCTGAGCTTGGGGGTGCGGAGCCTGGGGGTGCTGAGCCTGGGGGTGCTGAGCCTGGGGGTGCTACGCCTGGAGGTGCTGAGCCTGGGGGTGCTACGCCTGGAGGTGCTGAGCCTGGGGGTGCTACGCCTGGAGGTGCTGAGCCTGGGGGTGCGGAGCCTGAGGGAGCTCGGCCTGCTGGTGCTGTGCCTGGCGGTTCTCCGGGTGCTTTATATCGCCGGGAGCCACTCTCTCCACAGGAGCTGCGTGAGTGGTTTGCCCGGCGCTGGAGGCGAGGTGCTGGAGCTCGAGGTGCTGCGGGTATTGGAGGTTCTGTTGCTGCTGAGGGAGCTGGTGCCACGGGTCCCGGAGGTGCTCGTACTGGGAGTACTGGAGCTGCTGGGCCTGCGGGTACTTCTGGAGCTGGAGCTGCTGCGGGTGTTGGCCTGGCTACTGCTGTCGGTCCTGGAGGCGGTCCTACTGGAGGTACTACTGGTACTGCTGGAGGTACTGGAGCTGGAGCTGCTACTGGTGCTGGTGCTGCCATTGGGGGTGCTGGTGCTGTCCCTGCTGTGTCTGGAGTCGTCGCGCGGCCTCGGCCGTACTTTGTTCCGCTCCTTCAGCAGGTTCTTGGTCTCCCGTCTTCTACTGGTCCTCCTCCTCCCTTAGAGTGTCCACAGCCTGTCCCGTCGCAGTTACAGTTACAGCCGGCCTCCCCACTGCCTGCTCCGTCTCCCTACACCGGTCCTACTAGAGGTCTTGCTAAGCGTCGTGAGCCTGCGTCTCGCCCTGCGTCGCCTGTGCGTGCTGCTCGCACCAGTGGTCGCGGTTCGCGTCAGCGTCCTCCTCCTGTCCCTCGCACGCACCGGATGTCTCTGCGTCCGTCCACTGCTCCTCTTCGTGCCCCTTTGCCTTCTCCTCCTGAGTCTTCTCTTCCTGCTCTTGCCGACCCGGAGTCGGACTCTCTTCGTGCTGCCAGTCCTACTGTCACGCATCTCCTTGCTACTGTTTTCACAGACCCTTCCTTTGAGTCCACTGCTGCGTCTGCCCTAGTTGCTGAGCTCGTCGACTTTGCTGCTCACTGTCGTCTAGACTACGCTGCTAGTCTTGTTGCTGAGTCTGCGTCTGTCTGTCGTCCGTCCGTCGGGGGTGAGTGTGCCCTTGGCACGGACGTCCTTGAGGACAGGCAGGAGGAGTTCCAGTGTCTAGCTGCTGCTTCACCTCATCTTGTGTCCGTACTGCTTACCCCTGAGGGAGACCTGGATGCAGTTGACATCCCGACTCCGCGTTCTTACGCGGAGGCGATAGAGGGTCCCTACTCCTCTCAGTGGCAGGCAGCTATGGACGCAGAGATGGCTTCCTGGAAGTCCACAGGCACCTATGTTGACGAGGTTCCCCCGCCTGGGGCGAACATCGTAAGTGGCATGTGGATTTTCAGGGTGAAGCGGCCGCCATGCTCTCCGCCTGTCTTCAAGGCGCGGTACGTCGCTCGTGGCTTCAGTCAGCGGCAGGGAGTTGACTACTTTCAGACCTTCTCTCCCACCGCGAAGATGACCACTCTTCGGGTGCTACTGCACATAGCCGCTCAGCGCGACTACGAGCTTCACTCTCTTGACTTCAGCACTGCTTTCTTGCAGGGTAGCCTGCACGAGGAGATCTGGCTGCGCCGCCCACCTGGCTTCACTGAGAATTTTCCTCCTGGCATCCAGTGGAGCCTCCGGCGGCCAGTCTACGGTCTCCGCCAGGCACCGCGTGAGTGGCACGACACACTGAGGACTACGCTTGCGGCTCTTGGGTTTGCTCCCTCTACTGCTGACCCGTCGCTATTTCTGCGCACCGACACTTCTTTGCCGCCGTTCTACATCCTCGTGTACGTCGACGACTTGGTCTTTGCCACAGCTTACACTACTAGACTCGCCCACGTGAAGTCCGAGCTGCAGAAGAGACACACGTGCACAGACCTGGGTGAACTGCGCAGCTACGTTGGCTTGCAGATCACCCGGGACAGAGCACAGCGCACCATTACCCTGACTCAGTCACACATGGTGCAGCAGGTCCTTCAGCGCTTCGGCTTCACGTACTCCTCGCCTCAGGCCACTCCTCTGCCTACCCGTCACTCGCTCTCAGCTCTGCCTTCGGATGAGTCCGTAGAGTCGAGTGGCCCGTACCCAGAGCTTGTTGGCTGCCTTATGTACCTGATGACCTGCACTCGACCTGACCTTGCATACCCTCTTAGCATTCTCGCACGCTATGTTGCTCCTGGGAGACACAGACCGAAGCACATGGCTGCAGCGAAGAGGGTGTTGCGCTACTTGTGCAGTACGTCGGGCATGGGGCTTGTGCTTGGAGGGCGGAGTCCAGTGGTCCTCACTGGGCACGCAGACGCTTCTTGGGCGGACGACCAGGCCACACAGCGGTCGACACAGGGTTACACCTTCAGCCTCAGTTCCGGCTCTGTTTCGTGGCGGGCTACCCGCTCGTCTTCTGTTCTCGGCTCCAGTTGTGAGGCTGAGATCTACGCTGGGGCCATGGCTGGACAGGAGCTTCGCTGGCTCACCTACCTGCTGACTGACCTCGGAGAGGTGCCTCGTTCTCCTCCAGTGCTGTACGTAGACAACAAGGCCATGCTGGCCTTGTGTCGAGAGCAGAGACTGGAGCACAGAACGAAGCACATTGCTCTCCGCTACTTCCTTGCTCGTGAGCTGCAGCAGCATGGTCAGCTGCGTCTTGCGTACGTGGCCTCTGAGGCCAACACTGCTGATATCTTCACCAAGGCACTTGCGCCTTGTGATCATCAGCGCTTCTGTACTCAGCTTGGTCTTGTGCCTGTCTTGCCTCACTTGCTCACCTCTTGACCTTGCTTGTACTGTTACATATATATACACCTGCTCTTGCTTGTTTAGCTTTCTATATATATGTACTCCTGCATGTGAACTGGCCTTGTGGCCTTGAACTTGTGCTTAGAATGTGTGGTGACTTTGTGATCCACCCAGAGCTTGCTCTGCTTTGCTTTGCTTGACTGGTCTTGTGACGGCTTGTTCTCCCCCACTTTGCCTATGGGGGTGTGTCAGAACATTATAGCTTGTGCTTTTGTCTAGGCTGTAGTGGGGTAGCCCACATGGGGTACAACCCAATTAGGGTTAGTACCTGTACCCAACTGTTTCATAGTTGATTCATTCCCGTTTCTTCTCAACTGTTGCACCACGTAGTTGGTCTAGTACGTCGTCGATGCGCGGAATGGGGTATTTGTTTTTAACTCTCTGTTTGTTCAGTGCGCGGTCGTCGATGCTTATCCGTAGACTGCCGTCTGGTTTTGGAGTGAAGAGAACTGGTGCACCGTAGGGAGAGGTGGATGGGCGGATCAGTTGTCTGTCCAGTAGATACTCTATCTGTTTTTTCATGTCTGTCAGTTCAGTCGGACTCAGTCGGTATGGTGCATGTGAGACGGGTTTCGCACCTGGTTCCTCCACGATCTCGTGCTCGTGGGTGCGTGCTGGAGGTATGCCTGCAGGTAGGTCGTCGGGCATTATATCCTCGTATTGCTCCAAGACCTCCTTTACTACTGCAAGTAGCTCGGAACTCAGCTTCTCCTCCTCTGCTGCTGCCATAACCAGTGCTAGGTAACCCGTGTTACTCTCGTTCACCGTCTGTTCGAACCGTGCCAGTGTCGTTTCAGGTACGTCCCCTGTATCCGTCCAGCTTTGCAGTGCTATCCGCTTCCCGCTGTTGTAGATGCACACCTTGCTGTTGACCCAATCGATCTCGGGGTTGAACCGCTTCAGGAAATCTCGCCCCAAGATAAAATCTAATCCTTTGATGTTGGTGACTGGTAGCTTCGGCTTCCACCTCAATGCACCTATATGCAGTTGCAGTGATGCTTTGCCGTGGATAGGAAGCTTCGTATTGTCCACCATGGTTGCTGAAAACTGGGTCTCTTCCGCCTTCTCTCCAATTTTCTCCAATGCTCCGCGGTCACACACCGAGTGAGATGCACCGCTGTCCACCAGTGCCTGGAGGCGTCGCCCATTGCATAACACCTCGAGGAGTAGTGATTTCTGCTGCGCTGAGTAGCCAAAGAGGGTCTCGTTAATAGGATCATAGGGTACATCAAACTTAATACCTTCCCTTTTTCCTATACCCGACTCAGCGCTTTCCAATTTCACCTGAGGGGTAGGAGGTGTCAGTAGATCTGCACTGTGGATGCCCGATTGATCCTGGAGAGGGTTACAGGCGCGTTCGCCTGGGGGGTTATGGGCGCACTGACCCGCTACTGAAACAAGCCCTTGTATCCCAATGGTCTAGTGGTTGGGATTCTGAGATGGTATCAGAGCGGTCTCGGGTTCGATTCCCGGTGCATGCACATGTAGGCCGTTGCCGCTGTGCTTAGTGCTGGGCCTCCCAGTGTGGGGGGGTGTCAGTAGATCTGCACTGTGGATGCCCGATTGATCCTGGAGAGGGTTACAGGCGCGTTCGCTTGGGGGGTTATGGGCGCACTGACCCGCTACTGAAACAAGCCCTTGTATCCCAATGGTCTAGTGGTTGGGATTCTGACAGGAGGATTTTTCCGAGGCTTGTATAATTTCTCCTGAGCCTGGATGTCTCCTCTAAGCCTTGGCAGCTATGTAGGCTTCACCTGTGGGCAACGGGGAGCCTTCAGACTGTGCTGCGGGGAGAGAATATTTACGCCACGGAACGCACGACCCTTTTCTACGCTCCGTAGTACTTTGCCCAATTTCTCAGGTACCTGAATAATTTCTAAAGGCTTTTTCTTGGCCTCTAAACCTCCCCTGAATTTTTTGAAGGCTTGAAAACCACGAGAAGCAATATTCTTCGTTAGAGTATCTTTATAGGATACTTTTAACGAATTCTTACTTTCGTGGGTGTTAAGCTGGAGTTTCGCGGTCTGGGCAGAGTCTTTTTTCGCGGAGCCTCCATTCGCCTCGGCGATTTCCCCTGATGCCGGCCGGTCATGACGTTTTAGATTCGCGCCATCATTTTCTCCTTTTTTCACCCGCTCCGAAGTCGCCACGTCGTCGCCTTTTCCTACTTTTCGGATCTTTACGCGATCGCCAGGTCGATCCGCGGCTACTGGCGATTCCCGTTTTTTTACTTTGGGGGTGCTCCACTGTTTCCGTCCCGGAGTGCCGCACGTGCTTTCTTCATTTTGTAGCACGACAAAAACTGATGTCCTGCTGCGCCGCAAATTCGCATTTTGTCGGCTGCTGCTTCGCGTCGTATTTGTCGATATCCATCGGTTCGGCGAACGTGGGGGGTGCCGATCGCTCCGTGCCGAATGTACGGTTCAGCGTGAAACGTCGTGTTTCGGGTTGACCTCGAGTCAGCGCGTCGTATCGCTCGGCAGCACGCACGATGTCTCTGTAGCTGTTGTAATTCGCCGCAATCACCTGCCACCGAATCTCCATTTTTAACCCTTCGGTGTACGCCTGGAGTTTTTCGCCTTCGGTCAGGTCGGTGATGCGGTTGAACAGTAACTCCATCTGCTGCGTGTACTGTGTTACACTACTGTATTGCTTGTGTCGGTGTATCTGTTGTCGCGCCATGTAGGTTGTATTAATTGGTTCGAAACGCTCGATTAAATCTGCCCGAAACTGCTGCCACGTTTTCTCACCGCGGGCTACGTCGGTGTAGTAAATCCATTCGAGAGCCGGACCACGTAACAGTGTCGCTGTGAGCCGAATCCTTGCTGCGTCGTGTTGCGGGGTCGAACAGCCAATGGCCTCGAAGTAAATTTCGAGGGTGGCCACGAATGACCGGACATCGGATCCCTTCGCACTTGGATCGAACGCCTCCGGGAGCCTCGGTCGTGCTGCTTCGAGGTTCGGCGACAGTGGTGCCATTTGTCCGTGAAATGTCGGTGTCGCCACTGCTGCTGGAGTTGTCGGTGCTGCAGTCGCTGCGGTTGCTGCTGCTGCGGTGGCGAACCCTGGTTGGCTTGTCAGAAAAGCCTCGAGTCGACGAAGCGTCGCCTGCGTCTGCTCCATGTCGGTGCGGAGGCTCGCGATGTCGCTCGTAGTCGCGTAGTTGTTGCCTTGGCTCTCCATGCCTGACATCAACGCGTCCGAAAAACCGAATCGAGGGGGAACGAAAAACACGGAACCAGCCCCCGGCCCCGTCGCGCCACCTGCGACCCTTGTCCCGTCGCCATACCTGCGGCCCCGGCCCTAGCCCCGTCGCCCTACCAGCGCCCCGGCCCCGGCCCCGTCGCCCTACCTGTGACCCCGGCCCCGTCGCCCTACCTACGGCATGTGCACCCCCCCCCTCCCCCCCCCCCCCCCCCCCCCCTCCTTTTCCCGTCGCCTGTCGAGGCGACCTGAGGGGCACCTGGGGGGTGGCGAGTAGGGGTTGGCGAGTATGGGGGTGGCAGCTGTGCATTCCTCCCTTTGCTCCTCCTCCTCCTTCGTCTCCCACTGCTGCAGCTGACGCAAAGGGGGGTGGATGAGTGGGAGACTGGGGTTTAGGGTTTAAGGGGGGTGCGTGGGAGTGGAGCTAGCGGTGTAGCAGTGGGTGTGTGCCAGGGGGAGTGGGATAGTTTGGGGAAGCTGAATGGAGGTTGCCGTCGTGTCGCCAGCAGCACCTGTATTCCGGGGACTTCGTCCGGTAGCCCAGTCGTAGCCAGCTGTGCCAGCCGCCCGTGGGTCCGTTGCTCGTCTGCCGCTACTTTAGCCGCGGGGCCAGTTACTCCAGTATTCCGGAGCATTGTTCCGGTAGCCGCTGTGCCAGTGTGCCTCTTGTTGCCCGTGTGTCTGCAGCTTCATCCGTCGCCTCCTATCTCCTCTCCTCTCACTCTCTCTCCTCCTCCTCACTTGCCCGTTGTGACTACCACTAGCTTTGCTCATAATTGTTAACTTTAAACTATTGCTTCTTGAACTTGTGCTCAGAATGTGTGGTGACATTGTGATCCACCCTGAGCTTGTACTGCTTTGCTTGCTCTGCTGATTACACCCCACTTTGGCTATGGGGGTGTGTCAGAATGTTATCTTATGCTCTAGCCTGTAGTGGGGTGCTCTATAGCGAGTACAACCCTTCTAGGGTTTCCTATTTGTATCCCCATTCTTGCTAGTGCAGTTCTCTTCTCTCAAATTCATTCTAATTTTCACATTTTACGTACCCGAAATCGATGTTTGACTGCGTCGCCCCCGCGGTTTTTGAAGACTGGTTTTTAGCGGTCGAAAGAACTTCGCGTGTAAACGGGCTCTGATTACCAAGTGTGCGGATCTAGGATCGAGCTCAGAAAAGAGAATGAGAATTGAGTCGAATTGAATGATCACCTATATATAGGCTCGACACAAGGCCCCGTAACCAGGTGTTACGCGAAGGTTCCGCGGGTCGCGTAGCGTCCCGAACAGATCCTTACCGAATTCGGTAGAAGGCAATTCGGTGGCAACCGAAAAGGCCAGAATTCGGTGCACGTAACCTAGCTTGGTGCTATAACTATAATAAAATATAGGAAAGCACCTAGCCTAGGAAATCAAGCAATTCATGCATGCATATGATTATCCTATGCTAGAAATAGCATGATAAAGTGAAGGCAAGCAAGCATAGCTGGCATAAGCCATCGTACTCTCACACATGGCTTCGCGCCATTTTTCCCTGTGCTCCTCCCCCCCAAGAGCCTGGTGGATCGTGGCAGGCTCCTTAGGCGGCGCTGAACCGTGGACTGCGGTGAAGAGGCCAAGTATTTGCAGTCCGCTCTGTGTGTAGCGAGGGAGAGTTGTATCCTCGGGATAGACTGCTTCGTCTCCCGCTTTTGGATAAGGTATGAAATTAGGTCCTACGTGTTCTGCTTCGTCGGTGTTGACTTTGCGTGGGTGTAACGTATGTGAAAATAGTGAAC